AATTTCAATGTTTACCAAATACTTGTGCAATGAGTACAATGGTAGAACATTTCAGTAAGAAAAAATATTACCGATAAGTTTTGACTTATAAATCTATAATTATATGCCTTATGAAGTTATTGTACAAAAAGTTTATAACAGACAAAATTGTAATTGCAAGTTATTCTTGTATTGATTACTTTTAATAAACATTACATGTCGGCTCTAATATCATCGTGCAAATGATAATGTAGCCTTTCTTAATAAATCGATCAATTGGTATACAAATTACATCAATTCACAGATGACTTGATTGAAATTCGGGCGGAAGGTCGGGCGCGGTGGCTTTGAAATTGCATGAACACAGTATTTGTGGCAACATACATAGTTAATAAATTATTGTCACCTATTATCATTCTGTTTCATGATCACTCTATAAGTCGTTTTTGTATTCGTGCTCTCAAAATATATGTTTACTCATCACAACGAACAGAACAAAATTTCAAAAATTTGATAAAAACTACATGTATTTAAAATATATTGCACACAAATTTTGATATCATGTTAGTTTTATTCACGAACAACGTTTTTCTTCATAGCTATGAAACTGGTAACGGCATCTCAGCTCACGAGAGCGGATCCCCTCGTGCTCCTGGCCCCGAGGGCCCCGCGGTGACGGCGGAGGGTGGGTTCTCGTACCGCGCGCCCGATGGCCAGCAGATCTCCCTCTCCTACACCGCCGACGAGAACGGCTTCCACCCCACCGGCTCGCACATCCCCACGCCCCCGCCCGTCCCTGAGGCGATCCTGCGTTCCCTGGAGTTCAACAGGCAGCATCCATCGTCGTAAGTGCACCGTTTTCTAAAAAATCATCATCTGGAATACGTCATATACGTATAGTGTGCAACGTTAAAACATTACTCATAAATTCTAGACGCTAAATTTAATATTTATTCAAACAAAATCAATTAGCTATATATTGCTAGCCAATAATTAATTAATTCATCATCATCAGCCTAATAATGTCCCCAAATTTGGGGCACAGGCTTTCTCTATGCACGGAATAGGGAGATTGCCCGTGAGTGCTGTGACACATCACTCGGGTCCAGTGCCGATTGGTGAGTGCTTACGACTGAAGATACAGCTGGGGCAAGCATAACGTGCCTTCCAGAGTACGGAGGAACTCGGGATAATAAGTTTTTTGATCACCCATCTAATGACTGACCATTGCAAAAGTTGTTTAAGTTCCTCGATCACCGAATGCGCAACCAACTGCGCTTTCCATCCATTTTCAAACACTTTAAAAAACATCAATATTAAATGCCTATTAACATATTTTATTTTTTATTTTAGTGACACTGGTTATCACAATGGTGGAAGATATAACAACGGTTACTACTGAATCAAGGTGCTTCGAGGAATCAATAAAAAGAAAGACTTTGACAACGATAAATGGATGTTTAGTGATATTTTGTAACCTATTTGTTTAACAGTGTTAATTCTATTTGTTCATTACCTTATGATAATGTTAGTGTTAAATACATGTTATTTTATAAGTACATTCATAACATTTTATTTGATATTTACCTTCTTACATGTATAGGTGTTGTTTTTGCACTGCCTAACTTTTCCAAATGCACATCAATAAGAAAAATAAAATTCAAATCATTTTATTGCGCTGTATCGCAATTTCGTATGATGTTTTGTACAAACATAATAAATTTGTTCAGCCAATTGGCTTGCTGACATGAAATGGTATTTCTTTTAGTTAACTATTAATAATTGTTATTCCAACAACCAACCAACCAAATTGAAGTTATAATTTTATTAATGAGATGTCTTAGTCACATTTTGAAAAATATGTCAGGCAGGATGTATACAAAAGTGATACTATAATGCCAAATCAGAATACAAAAGATATTATTAGCAGATAAAAGCCGTTTCGATTGACATGTTTAAAATAATCTTGAAATTATTTATATCTACTCTAAATATCTTTGTTTAGTGGACTTTTTCTGGTGAAAGCTTCCAAGAGTGAAACGAATTATTATTTCAAGGAAAAGTTAAAGAAACAAACTCCTAGAGTAACACTGTGAGCAACACATATATTTAAATTTAAGCTCCGGTAATTTTAGAAGAATACGTTTATGATGTGTAAGTTTTTGGATTAACTCTTAACTGAAACTTACAAATAAATTGTTTGCAAAATGTGTGTTCCTTCGAGGGTATTAGATACACTACTAATACGTTGTCAAGTAATAGTTACTTCATTACTAAAACTAATTAGTCGCGGCACGCTTTACAAATAGTGACGTGTGAAGTCAATTTGCTGTCGAGAAAAATCTATAAAGGTACAGCGGGGCAATCTAGACTGCGGAAAATTTCAGCTAATGCCATCAACTTCCGTATTAAACTTAATTAATTAAAATGCCATCTTTATTTGAAAGGCGAAATAACGTTTTCATAATGACACCGTAGACGGCATCGATAGTCCTTATTCTGTTTTATTGACTCGGTCATCTTATTTTCGATAAAATTCTAAGTTCCTTTATTTTTTTATTTAAAACTTATAATTCGTATGTTTAAAAGTGAGCCCCCACAAGAGAGATAAAAAAAAGAGTGTGCTTATGACCACCCGACTGAAGTGAAACGTGTGTGTGTATGAAAACGCAAAGATATGGTGTAGGTTGTAACAGCAAAGCCGCGACCTTGGACGAAAAATCTCGCTATGCTCATCGCACCACTAAAAAGGCGTTCTTTTAAAATAATATGAATATTTAAAGCCGTTTATGAATTGACCATAATTAAAACAGTTTTAATCTGGTTGTAATCCATTTTAAAGTGTATGGAAAATCTCGATATTTAGGTGCAACAGGAGCTTACCTATCGCAAAAATGATGAACCGTTTACTCATTTGCAATTTTTGCTGAAGCATCATAAAACTGGACCAGTATTTGAATTTCTGGTAATGTAAAAAGGATATTTATAAGAAGAACTGTGAAAATTGGAGAAAAAATTACCGGAGTCGATTGACAGAAACTATCATCATGCTAAAGCTAGATATATTTTTTTACTTGGGAATTTTGAATTGTCGATTGCACATCGAACAAACAATGTTTACGAGAGATAGAATTTCAAACTTAATTAACTAAAAAATAAAATCTATAGCCCTCTATTAAAGTTTCTTAATATACTAAAAGAAATCTCGATCAAAAATGTTAAAGAAAAGCAAAGAGAAAACTTACAAAAGAAAACAGATGAAAAGCACAAGTCGAACTTACAAATAATGTAGTGAATGTTGATTAAAATATGTTTTTAACTAATAAAATAGTTCGATAGTTCAAAGTTCACCTCGTTTTGCCAACGTTCTTTTGTTTTGGCGCAATACATACTTGGTCGTAAGCCCGAATACGATTGCCTATGGAATTCAGACAAACGACTAAGTGTAAATAAACGGAGTCGAGTATGCCAGTTTTCGTTTTGTTTACCAGACGCTGCCTTCCAGCCAGTGTTCGAGTAAAAACAATGTAAATATTGTATCAGATGCCCGAATTCGTGTAATGTCTTTCGTGAAACCCGAATACGGGCAAACGAGCAAATGTAAATGCTCCTTATCCCGTAGACAGTGGAACCACGATGCATAAAACATAAATATGAAAGTCAGTGGGACTAATTTTTCTTTCTTAATTATTATTTGGACCACGAACCCAAAGCTAGTGGGACTATGAGATCAATAGGACATTATTAGATCCAGGTTGGTAGAAATAAATATATTTGAATTGATTTATTGGGCCACGACTCAAAAATCTTAAAAACTATTTAGGAAGCAGTCTGCTAATTTTAGGTGACAATCTCTTGATCCTCAAAACCATTTTAAGGCAGTAAGATACTTAGATTAAATAATTTCCTTTTTTCTGTATTATTTGGATGGCAAATAATTACATGGCCTGCCTGGAAGCATACGTGCATTGCCGATCTGCCTGGAAGCACACGTGCGTTGTCGACTTTACACATAAACTCTTTCACATTATTTTTAAGGAAACTCATGTTGTATGCCTATGAGAAAATCTCAACAAGGAGTTTATTCAACACAGATTAATCATACGCAGTAGTAGCAAGTGACTATACATTACTATTTGTCAGTAGCGCATCATTTTAAATATGATAGCTGACCTTACAATATTCGAACCTAACAATACATTGCGTAATCATAAAATTGGCAGTAATATTTCAAACTTAATGCAAATGAATCAATAGCAATGCTATGATCATCGAGGAAAGAAAAAAAATCAAGAATCGTGCGACCTCGCATTCCCTCTCAGAGCACTTTCCTAGATCGAGAGATGTCATTGATCGGGAGGACCAAGCATCGTCACAGCTGTTAATCACGTTCTAATATAGAATCATTAATTGTAAAATATGCAGTAAACTTTATGCCATAAAAAATACTCTCTACGTGAAGTCCCGATATTATTACGTCTAATGAAAGGTAAAGTACGTAAATCATATTCTCCGCCAAAAATGAAAAACCATTCTGGAGTATTATCTTTCCCTATAACAATATGCTATGCTATGAAGTTAGTGTTTAGCAGTGAGTGAAATTCCTGCGTTTTGATAGGATAGCAACCAAGCAACATTCTCGCTAATCAAATAAATACTTCAATCTGATCCGCGCTAAAAGTGAAACATTATGAATTAATTATATACAAAAGCACATTTTGAGTCTCATAATGCTTTTCGGGAACAGTTGTCAGACCACATAATCTATACATTTTTAAAACAAACAAATTTAGTTACAGAGATTTAATATTCGTATTTTTTTCATCTTTGCTTTACCAATAATAGGGATATTTTATTTCTACTAGACTTCTATTCACAAGTGCAATACGACCAGCGACAATGACCTTGAACCCAAGTGGTATTATATCGCAGGTTATCATTGACAGTTCAACGAAACAGTGGGAGGCGCTTCAGGAATTCAACGCAGCATTCAATTCTTCAATCGCCACTAAGATGTCGTGCAAGGTGATCGGTGGTAGGGCAATAAGTACATCAATATAAAAAGATCACTTACGTTAAGAATATCATTCAGTGCTCAACTTTGCATCTCGCAAGTCTATTTGAGACAGTTGAAAGCTTCTTCTGACTAAAATGACTTTTGTAAAGGTAACAAACAATGTTGTGTGTGTTTTTTTAATTCCGTTTGAAACAACCTTCAAGCATAGTTAACTTTATTTAATCACTTATAAGTTAAATTAAATTTTATATAAATATCTTAGTTGACTGGTGATAAACTTACCTAAACCTAAAGTTTGGATAAATTTCTTTAGTTTTAAACATCTAGCAGTTAAATATTTAAAAAATAAAACTACAATTGCTATTTCTTCTTTTAAATGTTCAAAACCTGTAAAGGTATACGTTTTACATTGTGGGTTACCTTCAATGCGAAAAGAAAGAAATTCGATACGGCCATCAAGGCCGCGGTAGCATGATTGGTCAGTGCGTCCGCCCAGATAGCGAGGGTGCGCGTTTAGGCCATGTCTGCTGCCTGGCCGCGAGGAATTATCTCTAGCAAAATTTTCTTTAAATTTTATTAATCAACTAGTGGTCCGCCCTCACTTTGCTTCGGTGTAGAGCTGTAGTGTAGTTCTATAGTTTTTGTTCAAAGGATTGTATTATACGCACTGACTTTCTTTATAATAAATAATAAAAAAATAGATAATACACTTTATATTGATAATGCCTATATTAATCAGTGACAATGTAGCATTCAAATGGTGAAAGAATTTTTAAAATCGGTCCAGTACTTTTTGAGCCAATTTATTACAAACATACTTACATACAAATATTTCCTCTTTATAATATTAAGTATAAAGTATAAGTATAGATGAAAGTTTAAAAATCAATGTAAACATAAAAGAAAACGGACACTTTCAATAATATTAAAGCTTTTTTTATCAAATCTCACAATTTTAGATTTTTGCCGGCTGTGCTCTTTTGCTGACCGTAGCAGCTGAGCATTATCACGGTTATAACAATAACAACTACGGAGCCCACATACCTATTCTACGCTACGAAAACGTAAATAATGGCGATGGGAACTACAGATACAGGTGAGATGTTGTACAATTTATTATTAGTCACAAATTCAACATTAGACGCTTCGCTATGTACTTATTTCAATTTTGGCCAACAAAAACTTGTGCTACGAATACAACGGCGGCACAACAATACCGTGAGACAAAGTAGTGTCGATAAATTTTTACTCAGCATGGAATACTAATAGCAACGCTTTAAAATTATTGTACAGAAAGTTTATAACAGACAATAGTGTTATTACAAGTGATTCTTGTAATATTACTTATTTTTAATAAACGTTACAATTCATGTGGGCTCTTATTATCTTAGTGCAAATGATAATGCAACCTGCCATAATTATTCGATCAATTAGTTTACAAATTACGTAAATTCACAGATGACTTGGTTGTAATTAAGTGGGACATACGCGGGGCTTTGAAATTACATGAACACAGTAGGTATTTGTGGCAACATACATAGTTAATAATTATTGTCACCTATTATCATTCTGTTTCATGATCATTCTATTAATCGTTTTTGTATTCGTGTTTCTGAGATTTATTTTAAACACAAAAAATGCAAAATATTTGTATACTCATCACAACGATCAGGATAAATTTTAAAAATTTGACGAAAACTATGTACATACCTTTAATATATATAGTTCGTACTTTTTGTCAGTGATTTCTTTAACCTCATCAATTTCATGACTAATTGTAAAATGATATTAGATTTGTAAACCAACGACGTTTTTGTTCATAGCTATGAAACTGGCAACGGTATCTCAGCTCACGAGAGCGGGTCCCCGCGCGCTCCGGGCCCCGAGGGTCCCGCGGTGACGGCGGAGGGCGGGTTCTCGTACCGCGCGCCCGACGGTCAGCAGATCTCCCTCTCCTACACCGCCGACGAGAACGGCTTCCACCCCACCGGCTCGCATATCCCCACGCCCCCGCCTATCCCTGAAGCGATCCTGCGCTCCCTGGAGTTCAACAGGCAGCATCCATCGTCGTACGTGCACTGTTTTATTAAACAATTATCATCACGAATACGTCACAATGTACAACATCAAAACATAACTGTTATAGATTCTCGATGCTACATTGAAGATTTATTTAAAAAAGAACAATAGAAAAAGGGAGACTGGGTCGTGACCCACCACAGGGGCTTAGTGCGGATTGGTGGGTTTTAACGACTTATGACGCAATTGTACTTGGTCGCTTACCCGTGTTCGGGTGCACAAAAGATATTACTCGAATTCGGGCACCCGAAGCAATAATTACACTGCGCTACGGGCTGGCAGACGATGTAAGATAACCAAAACGAAAACTACCCAAATACGAGCGTACTCTATTCCATTTATTTACACTTAGTCGTTTACCCGAATTTCATTAGCACTTGTATTAGGGCTAACGACCAAGTGTAATCACGCCATTAGAGTGTCTTCCGAAGCACAAAGGAGCTCAAGATAATATTTTTTTTGTCACCCATCCAATGACCGACCATTTCGAAAGTTGATTAACATCCACGATCGCAGGCGGAACGCTCTTACCACCTGCACCATCGAGCTCCTCATGTATAATTAGTTTCCTCTAATTGAGTTGAACTAACCGAATAGAGTATGTAAACTGAGCAAAAAAGTGGTGTCGATTTTGGCATGATTCTCTTAACCTAAACTTAAATTTGGCAATAGTGTATCCTTGTCATTCTTTATACAGAATAGAAATTAGAAACTGATGACAATTTAGTTTTGAGTTAAAAGAATCATGCCAGAATCATCACCAATGTCTAACTTTAGAAAAAAACGGTCATAATATGACCTTATGGTATGGTGGTCATAATATGATCTGAAAAAACATTTAATGTAAATTTCGATTGTTTAAAACACGTTCGATCTTAAATGCCTATTATTATTATTTTATTTTAGTGACAACAGTAATTACAATGGTGGAAGGCATAACAACGGTTACTACTGAATCAAGGTGCATCCAGGAATCAATAAAAAGAAAAACTTTGGCATCGATAAGTGGATTTTTAGTGATATTTTGTTACAGAGCTGTTCAGCAGTGTTAATTTTATTTATTGCTTATAATAATGTTGTATATAATGTACGTTTAAAAATAAAATAAGTACATACATAAAATCGTATTTCATATTTATCTTCTCATCTGCATAGGGTATCGTCACAAACAAAAGGGTATTTATTCAGTCTGTTTTTTTTGTTTTCAAAAATTACCTATTATTTTCTTTATAAATTGGTAAGATAATTTCTTAAATAAAAAACAATTTAAATTAAAAATACTACTGATACATTAAGTAAACTTACTCAGCACAAGGAAGATAATGTACTTTTAAATCTAATTATCATTTTAAACTTTTTTTCAAGCAGATCCGAATCTATGATTTCTTGAAACTTTAAAATGAGATATCTCAAAACACTGTTTTTGAATATAATACCCTTTTGTTTGAGACGTGCGAGGTGTAGTTTTTGCACTGTCTAACTTTTCTAAATGCACATCAATTGGTAAAGGTCATATTACGAGATAAAAGACGTTTCGATTGTTGTGTTTAACAATGATCTTGAAATTTATTTATTTAATTATTGCTCAAAACAGAGTTACAGCAAGCAAAATGGTAAAAGACACTAAGAAAAACAGTTGATAAAGAAATACTCAACTCCACTAGCATGTGCAAACAGCATGCTTATACAAGTATACTACACAGTAACCATACATAAAAATTTCAAAATTACATTAACCTAAAATTTATTAATAACAATTTAAATGAGATTCAGACATACACAATTTATTTATCAAATTAGAAATCGAAAATTAAATTAATTATAAATTAAGGCATATAAAAATTAAATTAAATTAAAATATATATACATATATACTCTAAATCTTTGATTTGTGAACTTTTTCTGGTGAAAGCTCCTAAGGGTGAAAGAACTTAATTTTATCAAGATAAAGTTATCTTGATAAAATTAAGTTCTTTAAAAGAAGAACACCACTAGAGTAGGTAACATTGTCAGCAACTACACATATACTTCAATTTAAGCTTGGAGAAATTTACAAGAATTCGTTTCCAATGTGTAAAATTTTTGATTAACTCTAAAATGAAACTTAAAAAGAAATTTTGCTTGACATTTGACCTTACTTTTCTTGACTTCAATAATAAAATTAGGTATCCTAAACAAATAACAAAGTTAAATATTTGGCTTTAGTTCAAGTTTTGATGGTTGTGTTCATGACTAGAAACCGAAACAACCAATGATCGCAAAAAGATATCATAAATAAATTAATGAAGATTCCGAAGTTACCCTACCGATAAGTCTATATTTTATTGACCGTTATAATATATACGAAAGCACATTGACGATGCTGAAAACCACGTCATATCATTAGCAAGATGACAAAAAATAAATAAATGACAATTAAAATAAATAGTGGTACAAATGTTAGTAGAAACAAATAAAGGTCGGATAAAAATAACTTCAATAAGTCCTAATAGTTAGACCTGACATTAATTAAAAGTAACCTCCATCTTACAGAAAACCACAGTTAAATAACACTAACTTTTAGTGGTATTCTGTTTCTGTCGGTGAGTAAGGTTCCAGGGCTCCACTGGGTAGGGGATGTGGTCAGGGTAGGCAACGCCGCAAGTGATATTTTTTATATCGCAAGCGTCTTTAGTCTACGGTGGTCGTTTCCCTTCAGGCAGGCCATATGCTAGTTTGTCACACTTTTAACATTAAAAGGTAACTTAAGTTCTCCTCCGGCCTCTAAAAGGTAACTTAAGTTCTAAGAGCTCGATGGCGCAAGTGGATAGCGCGTTCCGCTGCGATCGTTGAATTTAAGCAACTTTCGCAGTGGTCGGTCGTTGGATGGGTGACCGAAAATTTACTATCTCGAGCGCCTCCGTGCTTCGGAAGGCACGTTAAGCCGTTGGTCCCGGCTGCAACTGCAGTCGTTAGCACCCACCAACCCGCACTGGACCCGCGTGGTGGGTCATGGCCCAATCTCCCTATTCTATCCATAGGGAAGGCCTGTGCCCCAGCAGTGTGGATATTAATAGGCTGATGATGATGATGATAACTTCTCCTTCTCTCCAAGTTCAGCAGAGTATCTAAAAAACTAAAAATAATTAGCTTGTAGAAGACTATTAAACGGGCCAACGTTACTGTTTGTGACATCATCCACATTTCATCCATCTTTTTCCGTACTTTAACTTAAAGAAGACCACTGAAAAATAAAACTACCTATTAGGGATTCCAGGGATCCACGAGGTAGGGGATTGGGTCAGTATAGGCAACGGCGAGAGTGATATTTTTATTTTATTTAGATCCTTTTCTCAGGAACCTATCGAGGTATCAAAGTGAATTAAAATTGTGTACTGCAATCCCTGTAGCCGTAAAAATCAAACTTGAAAGTCAACGCAATCAAAAGTTACGGTTATTAATGCTGATATAAATCAGCATTAACAACCGCTAATGCTTATTATTATGATGCTTAAATGGAAATGAAAACATATAAAAAAATACTTACTTGCCATTGATCTAAAGAATATGAAAGGAGATTGCTCAAATTGGCCTAAATGCACAAAAAATATTGACATACACGGTAATTCTTGGCGTAATTTATAATTTAATTTACAGTCATTACATTTCAACGGACACCTGTCTATAATATATACTTTAAAAAGGACTTTTAATTTTACCGGTTTGGAAAACATACGAATCATTTTTAAGGGCTATGGGTGTAGTAACATTCAGCCAAAGACTAATCGAAATTGTTTATATAATATAAAAACAAATCTATTTTGTAAAGATCGATAAAATAAATCATTTTTTTTTATTACACTGTGGTATTAATATCCACAACTATATTATCATTTCACTAGATGCAAATGTGCTCGGACAATTATTATAGATGGTAGGCGACATCATAAAGTCTATTGCCATACATTTTTCGCCAAACACCTCCATAAACACATTATAATCTGTATATATGTTAAACTTTAAGGTATCTATCTATGGGCCTACGTACCCTGACTATAAATTAATAAATAAATAAAATTATAAGGTGTGATACACTTATAACTAAAATATGGTTATCTTAAAAACATAACAAAAATAATGAAGCTACTGAATATATGGCTATAGAACCTAAATCTCTTAGCTTTCTTTGGTTAACGAGAGTTTAAAAATTCTCTTTAATCTGTGGCTCATTCACAATCATCACACAGTTTCTGTCACAGAGTACTTTATTATAACCGGAAATGACACCTGACTTTAAAAGTTACTCTTATGCATTAACTTTAAAAACAGACAACTATCTGTTAATGTACATGCTCTATATATCTGAATCTAATCCATAATTTCGGTACTTGGCTTGATTTCCCTACTTTACTTTATAACTTATTTGTTGTTTATTATTTTAATATGTTCAGTGTATATGGTTTATAGAAGTTCTCAGGGGTGTCCGTCAATAATATTCGTTTCTACAGTAATTTATACATAATTTCGAATCTAGGAAACAATTTTTCATGATTATTGGTTTTTAGGCCAAACATGTATGGAAGCTGAGCAATCTCCTGCAATGCTACGTAGATTGTGTATAGGAATTATTAAAGGAGGGGCGAAGACATCTTCGAGACCTTTCCCTTTGAAATTTTTTAGTATTTATATACAAAATCAATCCTCAAAACAGGTTGGTCAGGTTGATTGGTGGTCAAAACAGGTTTCATGGTTGAACGGCTTATTTCTCATTCTATACCCATTAACTTTCGTATTTTCCTTACCTTGCTAATGTAATAATAATAATCTTATCAAAATGTAATCGATTTTCAATCGTCCGCTTTTTCGCTATACTAAGCCGTGTTTGTATACGGTTGGAGATCTCGTATTAAATTCATTTTTTCTGATCACGACCAGTTGTTACAACTCACCTACTGCCCCAAAAAAGAGTATTTCTAAATAGCAAATAATAAATTCCGTACCATTCACATCAATTGTAGTCCCAAACGGATACTTATCACTACTAACTATCGGGGAACGATTATGAATGAGTAAAACAGAAACGACCTGCCACTCACTGGGGAACGATTTGGGAACGGTAGATAAATAAAAAATAATATGACATGACATTTATAGGGCTTTGGATAATATTTTTGCAGTCATTACATAAATACAAAGAGAAAAGGTATATATAGGGAAAAGAGAGCCCTCTCGTGGTGTATTTTGCATACTTAATTCGAAGCATCATCTATGTTTTCGCCCCGAAGATAATATATATATATATATTAATAGTATCTTTTTACATTGTGATGTTCAATTCCCCTTCACAGCACTCTTCTCGCTCACTCAGAGCACCGGGGAAACAATAAAAGAAAACCAAAAAATTAAGATAATGTTATAAGTATATTTTATCCACTTTAGATACCAAAGCATAGGAATTCAGTAGTTTTAAGTTATTGCTTATATAAATCAACAAGTCTAACTATGTTTATTATTTATATAATAACTATGTTTCACTAATTATAAATATCTAAGCTGAATACAGTAGTTCAAAGTTAATGTGTATATAAACCAACAAGTTGTCATGAAAGGTTATAATTATATGAATATCAGACATTCAGAACACTTTACCATGTACTTACAATCTAATACTTACTAATATATTTTATCCACAAATACCACATAGACTAGACTGAATAAGCTATTTAGTGGATTTCAGAGGTTCTACGGCTCGTTTGATCGATATTGGTGACAAACTTAGTTAATTCTAGTTCTCAGTGAGATAACCAGTTATATAGATATATGTAAATATATGGAAATGGGTAAGTCGGGGTCCAACCTCGCCTGGTGGTTTCTTTCCACGTTCACCCGGGGTTAGTAGAGAAATACCTTGATTATGATAGGTTAAGCTGTGTATAATCTGTCTGCTGTTACGGCCGGGTTACATAAAACCGGAGAGCGGCTGGCAAATAAACTCCCGCGTCCCTTCTGGTCCGTGTACAGAAAAAAAGTCTCCTTGTTAGTCCTCCAGTATTTCTTGAGGGGAACGTACAAGCCGTTCGAAATATGAAACTATCCGTAAGTATTTTGTTTCCTATCACAAGTTACCGCCTTATTATTGCAATCGCCCTGCGAA